TGGGATTGTGGAGATCTCTGAATGTCGCTATTAGGAGGCGGGAATTTCGTCCCGGAATTTTCATATTTCACTTCTTTATCTCTACCTGTGCAACCGCTCCAGAGAAGTTTCTGGAGAAACGAGAACTCTTAAACGAAAGATTTTGACTTGCAGGTGACAAAAAGAGTCCTTCATGTTGTTTCCAGTGCACCATATCTTCATTTAGAGAAAATGAAATTAGATGTTGCTAAAACGTAGGCTTAGTGCGATTGCTCCGGTCCCGTGCTCGAATGTTTCCGGATATCGTGCCGTAGTCATGCCCGATTCATGACATCTTCGTCAATCGAATCGTTGCCATCGTATCGGACCTTCTCTTTTTCATGGAGGACAAATTGTTCTGAATTCATGGGATGAGTCGATATCGAAAGGGTGGTTTGCAATGGCCTATGGATTTAGTGGAATACGGAGATATTTCATCCTGACTTCCTTAACTTAACAGGACGCTGGGCAACTTGTATGTCATGCTTTCCAAATGCATTTTCTTCTTGGAACGAGTTGAGACAGTTCGAGGAACTCCAGACGTGCAGAATGTTCCTCTACCGCCCCGATGTGGGTCATGAAACTCGAAAAAGACCTACATTCGGTCCAACGATAAACGTTCCCTCTTAATTGAGCCATGAGAGACCGAATAGACCTGCAATTGGCCTAACGTTACACTTCTTCGACGTGTACCAAATCCGGGAACTTCAAATGCCTCCAGTACCTTCAAGTAATGATCTTGAAGAAAGGGAATACAATTTTCGGGGAATACAAATACCTTCAGACTTCATGATTTCAGGAAGACGGTCCAGTATGAAAGCAGATGGGGGAAAATCTTTATTTTCAGACTCGCGAACGCATATAAGAATTCGTTGAAATTTGCATGAAGATACAGCAAACAGAAGTTTTACTTTATTCACTGAATGGAAGGCGTAGTATACGTAGACCAGCGGAATCGAGGTAGGCTTGGTTCGTTCTGAACAAGGATGATTTATTGAGGTAAAAACGAGGTTTTGACGGAAGTAGGAAGTAAAGAGAGGAAGAGCAAGTCCTGGAAGGGAGGCTCGAATGAATTTTAAAAAGGGGGAGGTTATGAATGAAATTTGCATTCAAACCACACTCCGCCGATGGGAAACATTCTTCCCTGCCCATGGACGTATTCAAAAGAACCAGTTGAGTTTCCAACCCCGAATCTGTCACTCGTTCATCTCGCAAGAGCGTTTGACTCGTACATCTCCTTCCTTGTCTGAAAATCAAGCAGATAAATTCAAGTCGGTTTATTCATTCCAGTAAACATCGATTTCTCAGTTTTGATATCACTATGCCCTACGGAAAACTACCTGCCAATCAATAGCCGTATCCTCCACCGTATCCTCCACCGTATCCTCCTCCGTATCCTCCACCGTATCCTCCACCGTATCCTCCACCGTAACCTCCACCGTATCCTCCCCCGTATCCTCCACCGTATCCGGTATAGCTTCCTCCATATCCTCCTCCGTTTCCTCCTCCGTACGAAGGGTACGATGCAGATGAGCCTCCTCCTCTGATTGTAAACAAAAAGAACGAACTTTTAATCACGGGAATAATCTGCATCAATATATTTGAATTCCTTGTAATAAATGCCGCGAAGGTTTTCCTTGTGACTGCCCGTACACCCGCTCACAGGTCAGTCATAACACTCAACAAACATTAGCAAACATAACAACATTAAAAAAAATATTTTCCGTGAGACTCACCCGAATCCACCCCCACCACTGCCCCCACCACTGCCCCCACCACTGCCCCCACCACCTCCCCCACCCGAGCTAAACGGTCTAGGCGGAAACGGTGAGTATCGCTCGTTAAGGAGGTCGTTTTTCACCTCTTGGCTCTGGCGCAACTCAGGAGCGCCGCCAGCATCTCTCTTCGATCCGTCCGCTTTTTCGACTGGGAGCTTTCAAGATAAAAGGGAACCATTTTCCAAGTTGGTCGGCATTCAGGATAAGCAACCTTTTATTCATCGCAATCCTCTCATGCATTGTTAGAGTGGTTACTCTCTAAAAGGAATAATGATATGTTATTATTCTAAAATGAAGTATTTCTGAATTAAATGTGAATGATACAAGGGATTGCCTACGAGAACGTATTGGAAACGTGATCAGAGAAATGTCCCTGGAAGATCATGATTTGCTTTTAAATTCCCTCCCTGAACCTCCCGGATAGAAGCACGATAAAGAGGGCCTTCTTCCCAGTATCGTAATCAATTACCAACGAAAATAATGTCATTGTTTCGTCAAATGGATGGAATAGGACAAGTTGTAGGAACTCACGGCTGTGGCGCTTAGAAGAAGTGCAAAGAAAAGGATGAGTCTCATTTTCCTGTCTGCAGATACGAGCTTCACAAGGTTCAGTTCGTACTTGTCTTCATCGCTGGGGTTCCGCTTGCCGTTTTATAGCGAAGCCGTTCTATCCATCTGTGTGACTCATTGCTCAGCGAAGGTTGGAGTCCTTTTCCAATCTGTTCGGTGGCAGCAAGGTCTCCGTGTGAAGGTCTCAAGCTTTCTGGTATACCGAAGGACGCAGTCACGAGGTCCATGAGAGAGACAATGATGAGTAGCAGTAGCGGTTTCTGAGGAGGATGAATGAGGAGGACCATCCTCGTACACTGGCGGTATCAATGTCCCAGGATTTACATATGTTGGTTATCTAGCGGCATCATATGGATTACTGTTTCTTGAGACTGGCAATACGAGGGAAGACAATCGGGACCGACTTTGATGATGCCGTTATGAGTGAAAGAGAATGGACGCATGATGGGTGGGAGGATATACAGTCGCGGCCATAAGTTTTCCATGAAGAAAATCATTTTTTTCTGCTTGGAGCAGTATTGGTCCACATGTCATAGAGCGAACAGATGAAAGCTTCTTCTAAACTACAGCTCTTGCAGACGCGATGTTCCCAAAAGCCTGCCATGTTAAATATATACTCTCATACGTGAGGATGAGAAAGTTTCCATGAATGCAATTTGCAGTTGCTTTGAATTCAATTGTGACTGGAAAACCTATTCTAATTAAAAAGCTTGAACAAAAAAAAAATAATTTAAAATATCAATCAGAAAATAAGTTTGAAAAGTTGTAGGAGAAGCACAAGGATAGTGCGGAAATGAAAAACTTAAGGAAGTGATGCGAAGGTTGGAGGGGCTATGAAAGTGCCTCCAACACTATCAGCAATAGATGTCTCTCTTGAGTAGCCTTGCAAAATTCAACCAAGCGAACCAATGAAGTTCCATGAAGTGCGCACAACAGAACGGTTTAAATCATGGTCTACCTTGGGAGTGCAGCCTTGATTGCACCAGACAACAAGGACACGGAATGCGACCTCGGTTGGACGAGGTCTCACAAGTGATAATAAAATAGTTTACTATATAATCGCATGCAGAACCCTTCTCATACACACAGCGAAATATCCGAGCTCGTGAAAGCATCACCTGACTGAGAGAAGATGAAGCTTGTTCTCTTCCTTGCATTCCTTCTCGGCGCAACTGTCGTGAGTTTCCTCAAGTTTTGTCTTTCTTTTTAACTAATTGCATTCTCTCATGTAACATCCACTTTGTCGCCACACGGTACGTGATGATCGGTTGGAACGTACCATTCTCATCGAGCACATTTTCCAATGTGAGCATCTTCTCTGGAGTCATTCGGAAGGGAACATTGCAAGAATTTCGATCTCACAGGGATACTTATTCCATACACTTACAAATTACGTATAAGTAGTGCATCCCATTCTCGAGACGCCATTTTAGGAATTCGTCACTTTCACAATTCTGATGAGGCCATGGTTTTCCTCAAAAAATCCATCAAAAACAAATATTTGCAAACTTCCCTTGTAAAACAATGGAAATCATTCAGAAGAAAGTCGAACATTTTCGTAACAAAATGCAGAGATATAAGAAAACCGTTGTGTGCTTTCTCTCTTCGCAGGTCTCCGCAGTGGACGCGGACAGGATGAGCACAGAAGCGGAAGCGGTCCCGAGTTTGCGACAAGGAAATTTAATGATGGAAATCGAGCAATTGCTCGGTGGAGGTGGTGGTCGTGGAAGACCGGGCAATTTCAGACCTCAAACGGCGGGATTCGGGTACGATTGCAATCGAGTTTTCTTTGGAATGTCAGGTCGTGCAGAGGAAAAATCTTTTGATTAATGAAACAGTGAGTTGTGTCTCGGTCCGTGTCTGATTCGTGATTCGTTTGATGATCAGTGGAAACGGAGGACAGCAAGGTGGCTTCGGGAGATACCAAAGCAACAATTATGGCGGTGGAAACGGCTACGGCGGTGGAAATGGCTATGGCGGTGGAGACTACTATGGAGGGGGAAACGGCTACGGCGGCGGAAGCAACTATGGCGGTGGAAACTACTATGGTGCTGGAAGCAGCTACGGCGGTGGAAGCAACTATGGTGGAGGTTACTACGGAGGCTCAAGTTATTGAGTTCGGGTTAGTCGTTTCTCCCATTTTCTACCCGAAATTGAGAAAATGCTACACTATAGCAGGAATGATGAACTCTCCTTCCACCACCATTTATTTTCAAATCAGGAAGAAGATGAACAGATGAAACGGACTTCGTTGACGACCGAATAACGAATCATTTTGGTGACCTTCATCCTTCAAATGAGTTCGTCTCGAAGCGGGAATACACTCTACTTCTGTGATGCGTGGTTAATGGAATTAACTGACTAATCAAGATGGAATAAATTGATTTCGACCTGAACGAATGATTTTGCCTACTTTCAAACTAGGACCCGTAACTGCTAAACATTTCCAAGGAAACATGCGTGTGGAATAATATTGGTATTCCTGTGAAATGCGAGATGCGGGGAAAGGGGGCGTTTTGTCGAGCCTGGATCCATATGAGAGTTTTGTGGAGCAGATACTTCTTCCTCTCTCAATTTAGAATCGTTCCAGGAAATTTGAGCTATATCTCCCTGGGATTGTGGAGATCTCTGTATGTCGCTATTAGGAGACGGGAATTTCGTCGAGACCGATTGGATTCGAGACCAATTGAGTGAAAAATGACCTTCTTTACAAGGCGTCCTTGGACCTAAAATTGTTCCCAAGTCCTTTTTTCGTTTCGAACAAGGACGAGCAAATGCTTTGATATGACAGGCCTTGGAAAGTCTTGGGGTTGTATTCCCTTACAATACTTGCCTGATGATTGGAGAACTGCCGATACAGGCCAGCAGCGGGGGTTAAGATTGGGGACATGTTCAAAATGTTCACATCATACAATAAAATCCGTAAATGGTGCTTGCAAGCGTTCTGAGAAACCGCAAGCAGTTGCAAGTGTAGACTGAGCTCAACGGTCTGGAACCAGGGATCCTTTCGAACCGATTGGGTCGACCGAACTTCAGACTTCATCATTTCATGAAGACGGTCCAGTATAAAAGTAGATGGGGGAAAATATTTATTTTAAGACTCGCGAATGCATATAAGAATTCGAGGAAATTTGCATGAAGATACAGCAAACAGACGTTTTACTTTATTCACTGAATGGAAGGCGTAGTATGTGTAGTCCAGTGGAATCGAGGTAGGCTTGCTCTGTTCTGAACAAGGATGATTTATTGAGGTAAAAACGAGGTTTTTGACGGAAGTAGGAAGTAAAAAGAGGAAGAGCAAGTCCAGGAAGGGAGGCTCGAATCAATTTTTAAAAGTGGGAGGTGATGAATGAAATTTGCATTCAAACCACACTCCGCCGATGGGAAACATTCTTCCCGGCCCATGGACGTATTCAAAAGAACCAGTTGAGTTTCCAACCCTGAATCTGTCATTCGTTCATCTCCCAAGAGCGTTTGACTCGTACAACTCCTTCTTTGTCTGAAAATCAATTCGAGTCGGTTCATTCATTCCTGTAAACATCGATTTCTTATTTTTGATACCACTATGCCCTACGGAAAACTACCTGCCAATCAATAGCCGTATCCTCCACCGTATCCTCCTCCGTATCCTCCTCCGTATCCTCCACCGTATCCTCCACCGTATCCTCCACCGTATCCTCCACCGTATCCGGTATAGCTTCCTCCATATCCTCCTCCGTTTCCTCCTCCGTACGAAGGGTACGATGCAGATGAGCCTCCTCCTCTGATTGTAAACAAAAAGAACGAACTTTAAATCACGGGAATAATCTACATCAATATATTTGAATTCCTTGTAATAAATGCCGCGAAGGTTTTCCTTGTTTTCCTGCCCGTACACCCGCTCACAGGTCAGTCATAACACTCAACAAACATTAGCAAACATAACAACATTAAAAAAAAATATTTTCCGTGAGACTCACCCGAATCCACCCCCACCACTGCCCCCACCACCTCCCCCACCCGAGGATTTGCCAGATCCGCCTTTGCCACTCATAGCGAGCAATTCCTCCAGCAATTTCACCTCTTGGCTCTGGCGCAACTCAGGAGCGCCGCCAGCATCTCTCTTCGATCCGTCCTCTTTTTCGACTGGGAGCTTTCAAGATAAAAGGGAACCATTTTCCAAGTTGGTTGGCAGTCAGGATAAACAACCTTTAATTCATTGCCCTCCACTCATGCATTGTTTGAGTGATTACACTCTGAAAGGAATAATGACACGTTTTTATTCTAAAATAAAGTATTTCTGAAATGAATATGAATGATGCAAGGGATAGTCTACGACAACGTATTGGAAACGCGATCAGGGATCGCCCATGGTAGATGATGATTTGCATTTAAATTTCCTCCTTAAACACCCCTGATTGAAGTACCAAAAGAGGGCCTTCATCCCAGCATCCTCATCAATTACCAACGAAAGTAATGTCATTGTTTTGTCAAATGGATGGAATAGGACAAGTTGTCGGAACTCACGGCTGTGGCGCTTAGAAGAAGTGCGAAGAAGAGAATGAGTCTCATTTTCATGTCTGCCGATGCGAGCTTCACAAGGTTCAGTTCGTGCTTGTGTTCATTTCTAGGATTCCGCATGGCGTTTTATAGCGAAGCCGTTGTATCCCCATCTGTGTGACTCATTGCTTAGCGAAGGTTGGAGTCCTGTTCCAATCTGTTCGGTGCCAGCAAGGTCTTCGTGTGAAGGCCTCAAGCTTTCTGGTATACCGAAGGACGCAGTCGCGAGGTCCCTGAGAGAGACATTGATGAGTTGCAATAGCAGTTTCTGAGGAGGATTAATGAGGAGGACCATCCTCGCACACTGGAATTATTAATGTCCCAGGATTAACACCTGTAGGTTATCTAGCGGCATCATATGGATTACAGTTTCTCTAGACTGGCAATACAAGGGAAGACATTCGGGACCGACTTTGATGATGCCGTTATGAGTGAAGGAGACGCATCAATGATGAGTGGGAGGATACGGAGCGCGCATGGTCAGGAAGGTCCGAGTCATGCTTGACCCTTTCCGCACCCAGATGCTTCCCGGGTGCATTCTGCAACCTAATGAGCCTCTCTCATCGTAGAAAGGGGAGAGGGTTTGCAGACCATTCACAGCACACAATGAGTTGGAATGACATTCAGGAATTGCGTTCAATACGAAATATATTTAAAGCATCACGAGGGTGGAGATAGCAACACAATTGAAAACTCATGAACAATATGCCAAGATTTCATCTGCCCGGAAACACATATATTGTGGTTGTAGCCAAAAACCAGGATAGTACAAGAATAACCAAGTATCATATTTTAAACTTGGAAATGAAGAAGGGGCTTGCTTTGATGATGTGAAAGTACATTTTATTCCATGAGGGATATTCCTGTCAAAGGACAGGCATTTTCCAGTAAATTCTGTGTGATGGCCTTCTTCCCCTCCAAGCGACATTCTATCTGCACTCAGTCCGTTTCAGTCATTCGGTATTACGGGATGTCCTTATTCCATCAGCGTCGAAATGGCCTTGATTAGCTGTTCCTTCATGTGATGAACGTAATAGAAGTGATATAGTTTAGCGGATTACAGCCATTTCCTGGCTTGCGCTCTTCCTGTAATTGCTTCGAATTCTAACTCACCAGGATCCTCGGAACTGCGATCGTATACAAACAAGGACGCAAGTGATCTGTGGATAGCGACCTCAGTCATACCAGACAGTGTCACCTTGTGACTACGACCTTGCCGGCGCAAGTTCCACGAGGTTTATGTGGCGGCTGTTCTGGATGTGAAATGGATATGAAATTGGTAGAAGAAAGGAAATGGTACTTCCTTCTTTTCAGTGATAGTACAATCCGAAATCTAAATTTAAGAAAAGAATGCCCACAAATGAAAGGAAAAGTGTAGAATGGAAAATAGTTAGCTGTTGAAAAATGACTAGAATTAAGGAAATGATGGAGGAAGGGAGGAAATTAGACATGGGCACGGGAAATATTTGAAAAGATGTTGATTTTAAGATGTATGCGCATTTTTTCCATAAATAAAATCAGATATTCAAGTGTCAATCAAGTAGTGCTCATTTTAATCCAACTCATTCAGGAAGAAAACGCTTTTACGAGAGAAAATTTTTTTTCTACTAATGGCCGTTTTGTTCTACACGTCTTAGAGCTAATCGATGAAAGTATCTTCAAAACTCTTGCAGACGCAATGTTCCCAAAAGTAGCCATCTCATAAATGTAATCTTTTGCAAGACGAAAAGAAAATTGCGCGTTAGTACAATCTGCATTTACTTTAAATTCATTTGTGACTTGAAAAATCAATCTAATTTAAAAGCATGTACAAAAAGAGACATTTAATAAAGTAATCAGAAAATCAGTTTCAAAAGTTGTAGGAAGAGCACTATTTTGGCGTGGGAATGATTTATGATTATGTTAGTCTCACATGCTTCATGTAACTCCACTGGCAGAAATGTGTATTTTTTTACGAGTGCTAACGTGCTAAATAGCAAGCGGTTTTGCGAAGTTCGCATCCATGCTCCATGTGTTCTGATGCATGCAAGGTCTCTCAATCTGGAGAGTCCATGCGTCACAGTCAGGAGTCATGGCTCAATGAGAATCGCTCAAAAAAGTGCGTGATACTGGAAACGGTTTCAAGGAGACATGCTTGTGGAATGCTATCGGTATTCCTGTGAAATTCCAGATGCTGGGAAAGGCAGAGTTTTGTACATCGTGACCTTTCGTGTCCTGTCATTTTCTTGAAGGAGGCTTTATAGGTCATAACCTACGTATACGCCAAGAATGCGAACGGGACACGACGAAATAATCTTCATTCCATCATAGAAATAAAATAATTTCCCCACCTTCACCTTCGCCATGCGAGAAGCACGGCTATGAAACGTCAACAACTTTGCTGTATCCCCTTTTCACGGAGTAGGAAAACATCGAGAGTAATAACGGCCTGCGGCCGCTACACTGGCCGTCTTATAGACAGACATTTAAATAGTCCATTGTGAGCATAACGTCTCCTTGATATCCTCCGTTCATCGCATTACCCAATCGGAACTGAATCGCTTCATTAGGTTAATACACATACAGCTTACGGTACGCAGAGAGATTTTGTTCCTAAACACCATCATCATGATATTCGAGCTCATTGCCCCAATCGCCATTGTGAACGCCTCGGTTTAGTAGGTTTTCATGAGACTCAAGACGACTTTGCTGATTTCGTTGTCCCAGCACATTCAATACTCTTGCATCACCGATTAGTTTATGGGGCTATTAGCATTAGCTTATTGTACAGATACTACTGATTCTGAAAGAGTACGGGCCGTTTCCCAGAACTTGTTCGACTTTAGCACAGAAGGAAGGTAGCGCATGTGTGGCAAAATACTAACGAATAATTCCTGAAAATGCTTCGCCGACACATTAGCACCAATGAGCAACACTTTCAGAGCCTCGGAGTAAAGTGTGAGTTGCAGCAGGAGCAATTCTTTTCCGTCGTGGCAGCAATGCGGAACGAATGCCCCCTCCCCACAGGAAAATGTACAGCCTGACAGTGCTCGCTGTGACAAACGACTGTAACTATTGAGATGACAGGAAGAGACAAAATGAGAAAATGTCCTTAACTCCGTCGTGTAATGGTAGCACATGCAATGTAGCACTGCTTGCCTGACCGGGAAACAGGAGGTCCGGGTTCGATTCCCGGCTTTCGACACCTGAGTGCTACGTTCCTTGCTTCAAGTTATTCGGGAGGCTCCTCGGCTCTCCTATTCCTATATTCTCCTATTCGCTGCCTCTTGCTCCTCAGCGGTCTGAGCGGCCCTACGTACAGCTGCGTGCTGTTCATCACTCATTCTAGCCATTACGGCTGGCATCTCCTGAAGCACTTCGCAAAGCAACTGCAGTGGCAAACGTTGTTTCTGCGCCAGCACCAATCGTTTTTTTATCTGCAGCGGCTGCCTCATCGCCGTCCTGTGGGGCCTCCTTCAACATTTTTTCTTTGCGTTGATCCTCACCTCGCAGAAATCGCCACCATTTTGATGGTATGAGCGGCCCGTTTGCGCGACATATGAAACTAAGAACTTGCCTGATTATTTTGACTTCATCAATCGAGAGAACTCAAACTAATCGGCCATGACACGAAACGCAAGCAGAAAACTATTGCATGGAACGTGACACGCATTCTGTTAGTTGTATCCTTTGAGTGGCACAACTTAGTATGCAGTCTATGGAAATAAGATGAGTCACTGCCTATAGCCTAGAATAGCATAGCCTTATGAACCTGTCGCTTTGAGCGGTGGATGGCCAAGCCTATGGCCTAAAAATGGCACAGTCTCGTAGGCCGCGTTGGGGTGACAGCCACCAACACCGCAACTTTGGGGCTCTTCGAATTAAAAGTATTAATTAGGAAGTTCAGATCCTCTTATTCCCGAGTGGAATGGCTGATTTGAACCCAAGTTCAGAAATGCCATTCCATTTGTTCCCGAAACTTTTGGAATCGTGAGTTCGAGATGGGTACTTCATCGTTCCGTTGCTGGCTTGCATCCCGACCGGTACTGCCGCTCGGATAATACTTTTTAGCAGAGTATTATCTTAAAATTCGCGACAAGTTTATTTGCAAAAAAATGGAAATAAAAGTGGAACTCCTCTTTAGGGTCAGTACTTTTCCGGAGGAATCTGGGTATTTTCCGGTGTGTGGCCATTGTACTGACCAAGGAACGATGACGATCATTAGGTAGGTATTTCATTCGATGGGGGAGAAAATTATCTGTCCTTAGCATGAAGCAAAAGTGCATCTAGAACCTCCTGACAAAGAATTGTAGGTGCTCTTCAGATGTCCTGAAAGGAAAATATCCTTCATCTTCTAATATTTCATTCCAACTTACTTCATAATGAATCATTTTTCATGCTAATTTATATATACTCAATTTTCCTTCATCTAACAATAATTCATTTCCTGAAGCCTCACTCATTGTGCCTAATGATTCAGTGATTAAATACGCCTTGTATACAAACCTTGTATTGTACTTCGTCGCTTCAAATCTGTGTTAATCGGGGGCTCCCTTGTTTCACTTTAGTCAAAAATCCTCCTTCGAACTTTGAGTCCCCTGAAACATATTTCACTGTTTCCCATGATCTTCGTTCATTATTTTAAAAATTGCCCGTATCAGAGAGATTGCATGCTTAAATATTGCCCCAATCCTTCCTTATTCTCAATGAGATGCCAAACTACAATCGCAATAAATCCGTACAAATGGTTTCGCGACCGCAACCTTGTTTGCACTGGATCCCCTCAGACCTTGAGACTGCCACCGCTTGAACACCAGACCGCCGCCTGCGACCTCGTCTTCCCGTGGCAGGTCATTTGCGGCCTCGAATATTTGGAATATATGCCGTATGCCTTGCCACACGCAGCAGCAGACTCTTGGTGGTTGCATCGACAGGCGGAGGTGGAGGTTCCTCGTTCCTGTCCTCAACAGCGTGAGTCTCCACTGACTCCTCCATCGGTAATGATATCCAAGCGGTTATGTTCCGTGCGTTCGCTTCTTGTTGTATGGCTGAGTTTAGTTCTGTTCTCTCGCGGATGTGTTCCAATGCGAAACTTTTATCGG